TGACTACACCTTACATCCAGGATCACAAACCTACATTAACTAGTTACTAAAATTATGGATGGCATTATACGCCAAACTAAGTTTTAGATTAAATTACTAAATTTAACTAAAATTAATACCCGGACTCCATCCGGCGAGCTATTCTTCTGGCAATTAAAATCACGATCATTACATCTCTTTGATAATGATTTAAACATTTTTTATTAAATGTTTTATTAATGTTTTATTAAATGTTTTATTAAGACTATCAAAAATGTAAAGGCTTATTGCATCATAATAAGTACAAATCCAATGACCAGATTTATAAGATCCACTAAAAAGTATTTGAATGTGCTGCTTACTTTTCTCGATTGGAACTTTCAAATCAAGTGTTTGTAAATACAAAGTATTTTGCATTGTAACGATGTGAATCGTTACGACACCTGTCGACGAAATCCCCTAAACATGACCGGTACTTGATAACGTAGAAAATTAATGAGCCAGATGACCCACTAGTAATCGAGAAAGTGTGTCAGCGGCTAGTTAATAAAAGAGAAAGTTGTAGAGGTCAGGGCCAGCGGAGAGTTAGAGAGAGAAAGGTAGAAAATAACTTGAGAGAAAAGGAGAGAAAGAGTGACGAAGGAGAAAATTGAAAAAGGAGTCAACGACGCTACAGGTGCAATGCAATATACATTATCGTCCATATTAAAATAAGACCCGTTCGCGACTCGATATCGAGTGACTCGTATTTCAATTTTGTTATAAAGATTTAATTTGTTTCATAATAAATAGTTGATTTCCAGTGAGAGTGTTGTTTTTCTTTAAGAGTTTCCAAACGGATTAAATCCAGGTTAAAGGACCGAGGCAGCAAGAGGAGAAAAATTAGTCTTTGTGGCAAGAAGCATCGTGGGTAATTCTAAATTTCAGTACCGTGTCAGTCATGTCGCGCCGTTGGCAAATTTCTGCTTGCCAATCGTTCAGGTAGAATTCCCTCTGAGAGAGAGAGAAACTCGGAGGTATTGTTGTGGATAATTTGTGGTAATATTTTGAGTGAAATTTAGTTTATTAATTGAGCTTGAAAATTAATTGGCGCCTGACGGCGATATTTACTTCTGTAAATTTCTTTAAATTAAACTGTTGATCGCGTCAGATTTTGTTTAACGTTAGCAGAAAATTTAGATTCTTATTATTTATTTAAATTCATACGTCACAAAATTTGGCGCCCAACGTGGGGCCAGGCCAGTACCGAGACACGACTGAAACTAATAAAATTTTGCCATTTGAGTTAAAATTGTCTACATCGACCCATTTGCATAACTCTTGGCGGTTAAAATTTGTTGATTCAATGGCAATTAAAGACTAGCTCGAGCGGTTCCATTTTTTAGCGTACCTTCAACGCCGTTGCAAGAATAGATGAAGAAGAAGAAAGGATTTAGAGTTTAGAGAATATTTTAAAACAGAGTTATGAAGATTATAAAATAATATAAAAGTGCAAAAAAATGTTACATTTTTTTGGAAAATATTAATTTTTTAATGTAAGAAAGATAAGAAAATAAATAATCATTAATTAGGGGGAAAACCTTAATCATAAGGAATAAATTATATTAATTCAATAACAAAAAAAATAATTTAAGATGATTCTTATATTTATGATCAAGTACCTATATTTGAGATTTGTTATTTAATTTTATAAAACAATAGAATAACATTTTAAAAATTTATTCTTTTGAATCACTAAACTTTTGAAGGAATCGTATCCCACGTGAAATTGTTCTCGGGAATCAGTCACGGTAAATTACCGAGAGCCACTACCGGGAAATTCCCGGGACATATTCCCGAGAAATTCCCGAGATTGTCTCGGGAAAAAAGGTTTGACTTATTTCTCAGAGAATTTAACCTTTAGAATTAAAAATGTACCACTAGAAAATCCTAAGGATCGTATTCGTGATTTCTACCTCTAAACGAGAAGAATTAATGGGCAGCATGGCAAAAAGGTTTAAGCACCAATTCTTTTAAATTAAGATTTACCATTTAAGAAACAAGTAAATCTATTTACACATTTCCATAAAAGAATTTTCTATTCCATTGAGTTTTAAGCAGTTTTCAATAAAAAATAAGAATTATAAAATAACCATATTTTTAATAAAATTGTAATAACAAAAATTGTTTAAATTTTAAATTATTGTTTACATTAACTATTATTTACATGAGAATTTGTGTATTTATCATTTCGAGAATTTGTGTACTACTTGATTTTAAAACAAGCACTTAATAGATTATTTTTTTAAGATAAAACTTTTTTAAAATCTACTTTTATCCATTTACTTCTTTAATTCTTTTTATGAAAATGGGTTCGTAAATTTCGTTAAATTGTTCATTTTTCCCCAATGAAATTTTTCTTCTAGAAAAACATATCTATAAACAGTTCTTAGTTTATTTATGACCATAATAATTTTTTACTGTTTTTTTCATTTTCTTTAAAAACAATGTAGTTTTGCCTTTTCTATCCAAACAAGCATTTCTTATAATCTTTTTCGGAGATAATAATATTTACTTTTCTACTTAGGTTGCAGTAGATAACCTAATTTGGATTTTTTTGTAATGTTCAAGCTACAAATGAAAAGTCGATCAATAGGAAGTTACCAGATACCACAACGTTTTAAAAAAATTAAACATTTTAATAATTGACATAGGACTACCTACTCGTGGTATAAGTTTTCATTAATTATTAATTTCAAAATTTGCTACCTGGTGTTCATTGGATAAAGGCTTTTTCGTCATGTCTTAATTAATTTCCCTGACAAAAAATTGTTTCTCCTGATATTTCCCTGAATTTATAGACAAAAATTTTTTCCCTAACATTTCCTAACTTTACTGATATGTGGTCACCCTGTAAGTATTTCAAATACATTCATATTTGTTCGCTTGTTAGAGAAGCATAACATTACGACCAATGATTATAAAGTAAATTTTTGCGTCTCAATTTGGAAACACAAACCAGCCTATGTGATGTTTCAAATTATAATAAGACAAAGAAATAAAAACATTTATGATTTTGTTTAAAACGGAGTGGGAAATCCTCTTGAACAGGAACGATCAATTAAAAATTAATTAAAATTATTAATTATTGATCAATTCCTGTTCAAAATTAAAACCACGTTTTTTTATTCGTTAGGGATCGTTCACATAATTCAATACAATCACGCAAATACAATACAGATGAGATGAGATATATCCAAACTTTCACTGCTCTATACACTAAAATTATATACATTATACTCTATACTGATCATTTACATTCGTACTTTACACGTAAAATTTACATTTTTCTGACGTTGTTCAGATAAAAAATAATATACATTTACAACAGTATAACCATATTATATATTGCTCTCTTATTGTTTACATTCAATTCATTTATAGCAGTGTTTTTACAACAATGACGAAATGATAATGGAAGCCGTTGTAATATTTTATATATCAAGAGTAAAATATGAAAATAAATGTAATCGATAAATTAATAATGAAAACATTCGTTAATACATTATTTTCTTTTCATATTATTAATAAAGATACAAATATAATTTTCTACTTTTAAACATTTTGATAGTATGATGTCTATTGAAATAATATGAATGTTGTAAGATTCACATATGAGGCATTCTTTCTCAAGTGGGCCACCCCTTCTCTCCATTTCAAATTTAATCCAAAAATCTTTTATAATAGCTCAAATTAAAGGTAAATATGTCAGCTTTTCAATGCCGTTGGGCCCTTTTTGAAATATTAATTTCCTAATGAACTATATATAATTTAATGACAAAAAACACTATGACCAATTCTTTTTCATATTAAAAAAAGAAGAAAAACCCAATTTTAAAAATGCTACAGGGCCTACAACATTAAATTATATGATAAATTAACAAAATTTCATATTATTTCCTAAAATTAAAGATGGCAAATCTAATATGGCGCCCAAAATTAGAAAAATTTATAATTTTTGTTCAAACTCACCATAAAGGGGTTTTTGGGATCGCTGATGACGAATTTGGTGTTAGTTTCTTAAAATTCAAAATGGCGAATCCAAAATGTCGGACTTAGAAATTAAAAATCAATCGAATTTGACTAAAATTTGTTATTTGAGGGTTTTTGGGATCGCTGATGACGAATTTGGTGTTTATATTTCAAAATTCAAAATGGCGAATTCAAAATGGCGGACTTTAAAATTAATCGGATTTGCCTAAAATTTGTTATTTGGGGGTTTTTGGGATCGCTGTTGACGAATTTGGTGTTTGTGTTTCAAAATTCAAAATGGCGGACCTAAAAAATTAAAAATCAATCCGCTTTGCCTAAAACCTGTTTTTCGGGTGTTTTTGAGATCGCTGATAACGAATTTGATGTCTATGATTAGAAATTTGATGTCAGCTTTTGAGAATTAAATACAAATTGGACAAATTATCGTTATTTATTTATTTAAAAATCTAAGTTCTTTAGGGTTATTTGAGTATCGCTTTATTCATAATAATTTCTATACAAAACATAAAAATCAGCAGCAATCACATAGCTGGCAATTAATATTTCAGCGTTATTGCATTCAAAATATCGAATTTCTAATACTCAATATAGAATCGGCAATCCCAAAAATATCACAGTAATGAATTTTTAGCAAATCTGATTAATGTTTCATATTACGTTAACTATATTAGATCCATTATATTGAATTCTGAAAAGCTGCCATCAAATTCCTAACCATAGACATCAAATTCGTAATCAGCGATCTCAAAAACTCCCGAAAAACAAATTTTAGGCAAAACCGATTGCTTTTTAAATTTTTAAGTCCGCCATTTTGGATCTACCATTTTGAATTTTGAGAATCTGACATCAAATTCGTAATCAGCGATCTCAAAAACCCCCAAATAACAAATTTTAGGCAAATCTGATTAATTTTTAATTTTTAAGTCCGCCATTTTGGATTCGCCATCTTGAATTTTGAAAAACTAACACCAAATTCGTCATCAGCGATCCCAAAAACCCCCAAATAACAAATTTGAGACAAATCCGATTAATTTTTAATTTCTAAGTCCGCCATTTTTGATTCGCCATTTTGAATTTTGAAAAACTAACACCAAATTCGTCATCAGCGATCCCAATAACCTTTTTATGGTGAGTTTGAACAAAAATTATACATTTTTTAAATTTTGGGCGCCATATTGGATTCGCCATCTTTAATTTTAGGAAATAATATGAAATTTTGTTAATTTATCATATAATTTAATGTTGTAGGCCCTGTAGCATTTTTAAAATTGGGTTTTTCTTCTTTTTTTAATATGAAAAAGAATTGTTCATAGTGTTTTTTGTCATTAAATTATATATAGTTTATTTGGAGATTAATATTTCAAAAAGGGCCCAACGGCATTGAAAAGCTGACATTTTTACCTTTAATTTGAGCTATTATAAAAGATTTTTGGATTAAATTTGAAATGGAGAGAAGGGGTGGCCCACTTGAGAAAGAATGCCTCATATGTGTTTAATGTTATTATTTAGATTAAATCCAATTTCTTTGTTTTTGATTTCTTCAATACTATCATTGGTAACAATCAATTCATTTACTACTGCGTAAGAATTTTCCCCCTCTTTTATAAAATACTTAATAGCACCACAGAACATGGATTCATCTTTTTTCCATTGAATATAAAAATTTGAACGCTTTTTTTTTGCCGAGTGTATAATTTGGATGTGAAAATTTCATCATTTATTTTGCATCTACTATATATAGGAATGCGCTCTTCAAGTAGCTGCTCTTTGGTGCGATGAGTTGCATAAGCGATGGCTCCAAGTTCGCTTGCTGTTATGTCATAAATTATAGTTGGTCCGTAAAGATATCGTCTGTTCTCATTTAATGTTTTTTCAGGATGCATAAGATACTTAATACTACGATAAGCTTGAATAATTTTAACTGTATTGGATAATTCTACGTCAATTTATTAGAGCCATGTATCATTTTAACAAGTTCACCATTTTGATCTTCAGAGGAAAAGGCGGACCAAGCCCAGAGTGGTCCCCACATTTTTACTTGAAGTGGAAGATGTGATAATAATTGATGAATATTATAAGAATATTTGTTATTACCGTACAGTTCTTCAACATCAATAATAAAAAGAGTGAATAAAGTTTCCGCAAAATTTATATCTGATGGACTAATTTCTTCTTGAGAAAGTAAATGAATTGATTTAACAAGTATTACAAAATGTTGAAAATGAACTTCATTTAAACGATTTTTTAAAACTATTGGTCCATAATAATTTAGAAACGCTCTGAGCTCGGAAGCCTTCTAATCACTGAGTTGAGTTAGTTTTCTAGGTGTCCGAGTTATGTCATCCTGTGGTGTTATTGTCTCTAAAATTTTATCAATATCACTTCTGAGCTCTTTAGACAAATAATAATTTTCCAAATTCTTACAAGAATCACACCAAAGAGATAAAAGTCTCGACATCACACCAAGGAGTACAGCATGCATATAATCAGAAATAAATCCTTTTGACCTGCTGAAGTGCGGTATGTTAGTAACAACTGACATACCTTTAATGCCTTTGAAATGTTTCAAATTTTTAAACTTTTCAACAATTGTTGTTTGAATTTCCATTTGTTTATCAGATCTTAAAGGGGACTGTTCGAAACCGGTTGGAAATACCCAATTTGAACCAGCACCGGTTGCACAACTCTCACCTTTAATTTCACAACATGGACAACTGTACTCACCAGTGTAGAGCATTAGGTTTAATACACCAGCTTTTGCTGGAGCATCCAAACAAGCAATTGGAGCAATTACTTTACTTGTCATTGTACGATTTAATGTCTTATGCTTCCATTCAAACCCGTTTGTGAATAAATTTCTTAAAGCTAATGTAAAAGGAAGCAGATAAGAATTCATGTCTGGTTTCTTAGTACATCGGTTTGAGTAAAAAATCCCTCATACGAATTGAAGACTCCGTCTTAATCTTAGCTCTACGTTAACAATTTGAGCATATACTGGCCAAATTTGACTGCGTCTACTTTTGGAGACTTGCACTCCATCTGTAAACCAAATTAAAAATAAATCATATTGACCAGGTATTGCAACTCTTTTTAGACGCTGAAACTCTGAAGCAGACGTTATATCGTACACATTTTCCGAATTTCTTGAAAAAACATTCAGTTTGAAAAGAATCAATTAAAGAATGAAGATCCCTCACTTCAAAGGCATTACGCAGTTCAGATTCAATATTAAATTCTATGAAAAAACTTTTCAATTTTTTACCGTTACATCGTGAGCAAATTTTAACATCTTGTGAATCTAACCATTCTCCTAAGTAGTTCTGACAGTCTGAACAAATTCTGTGCTTTGTTGTGTAGTTTGATTGTAAATTTAGTAAAATTTTGTCGATCAAATTTAATAATTTAAATTTTGTTTTCGGAAGATTGTGGTTATCGGGTAACAGTGTGTTAAGTAAGGTAAGTAAGTCTGATAAAGCTTCTTTACTCAGTTGATTCGATACGTAAATTTTTAAAATCTGTATTAGAGCATCACCACCACAAGAACTTGAATTTTGATAAATTGGATTATGTAGCCAACGGTTTTCATTATCATCATCACTATCAGTACCGACATCATCATCATTATCGTCGCTATCATCGTCAAAATCATCGCTATCGTCTCTAACATTATTATCATCGTCGCTAAAATTATTACTACTTCGTGTTACTGATGGTGAATGTGGTATTGACAAAAGGGATTTAGGCGAGGAAGGAGGTAAGGTGCTACCTTGATCTTCATTTAAAGTTGACGGAGAGAAATTTACAGCAAAAGTTGACTGAACAGCCACCTCACTTTCAGTTTCTACTTCCGAAGATGAAGAATAATTGGTAATTATCGATGAAGTTTGATTATCGCCGGTATCACTATTGGAGCTCTGAAAACAGTTAATTAGATAATATATAAATAACAAATGAAATTTTTTTGAAAAATTCTTATTACTACAAAAGAAATCTGTTAACATTATTGTATACATAAAAACGTATTTTAAGTCTCACAACACACACCTGTTTTTTTAAATGAAACAAACTTTGGAGCTGTATGTGATCGTATACACTTTTTTAAGATAAACTATTTGTAAACTACTTAATAATTGTAATTTTTGCAATTTTTTATAATTTTAATTAACTCCATAGACTTTTATTTTTGAATAGTAGTATTATAGAAGAAAGTTCACACGTCAAACGACTATTCTCGGTTCTAGTTTTCGAGATAAATCGCAATTTATTAGAGCTGTGCAAAATAATTCGAACCGAACTGTTCGAATTTTTTCGCCTAGTTCGAATGTCGAAAATTGGACATTCGAGTTAGCTTAGTTCGAATGTCGGTTTTTCGACATTCGAACTAGCCCAGTTCGAATGTCGAATATTCGACATTCGAGTTACTACAAAATTCGAACCGAACCGAGTTTTGTTCGGTTTTAGTACGCTAAAATGTCGAATTCTAAAATTCGACATTTCAGTCGCCCAGTTCGAATGTCGAATATTCGAACTAGCCCAGTTCGGATGTCGAATATTCGACATTCGACATTTCAAAGCTCCAAAACCGAACTAAACTCGGTTCGGTTCGAATTTTGCACAGCTCTACAATTTATTAATTTTGAAGTAAAATCTTAATTTTTTTTATTTTTTATTATCAATCTACATGTTTTTACAAGTCGAATCATGCGGTTCTCATTAATTTATCTGTTTGATTTAATTGATTCTTTTGAAAAATGAAAAGGGCCCATTTTGTCGGTCATTTGCAAAAGTAATCCGTATTTTAGAAATGGAGGTGTGGAAAAATTAAAAACATCTTGATTTTACATCTTTAAGGTGTCCTGGACTGTAAACAATTCTTATCTTAATAAATTCCTAAAAAAACCAAAGCTATTCATGTTAGAGTTTTTTTTCGTAATTGTCGAAATGAAAATTTGGATATTGCGTCAATTTTTTCATAATAGAGATTGTCAAAAACTTTTAAAAAAAGTTTAATATCTATTCTTTTTCTTTAAATGACACAATAAAATAGTACCTAATCATTAATCTTGTAAAAAAATGGTTTTTTAATAGAAAAACTGTCCTTTTTAGAAAAGGGCCCATATGGTCGATTTTTCGTATTTTCAAAATTAAGAAGGGGGAATGGTTTTAAAAATTTAAAACCTGTTGGTTTTTAATCTTTTAGTTACCCTGGACTGTAAACAATTCTTATGTGAATAACTTCCTAGAAGAGCCAGAGATATTAATGTTACAGTCTTTTTTTTCGTAATTTTCAAAATGAAAATTTGGATATTGCGTCAATTTTTTCATAATAGAGACTGTCAAAAAATTTTAAATAAGTTTAATATCTATTCTTTTTCTTCAAATGACACAATAAAATTATACCTAATCATTAATCTTGTAGAAAATGGTTTTTTAATAGAAAAGCTGTCTACGGTGAGCTTGGATGAAATTCAACCCAAAAGTCATGACCCTTTCTGGTTTATTTTTGATAACATTTAAGTGATGTCTAATAATCATTTTAAGATAAAAATTAAATTAATCGTTGGAGGGAAACTCAAATTATATTGATTTTTTAATTTTTTTCTAGGTTATTGTACATATTTTCTGAAGGATAATGTTTTAAACAATATTTATTGCTTTAAAAGATATCTTTTAACATTAAAAAACATTCTATTTAGTAAAAACAATATTTTAATATATAAAGCTAAAAAATTGTCGAAAAAGTCGAAAAAGTGTGAATTTTTTCGTTTTTCTGAAAATTACTCTTTTATAAGTCATTAAACACTAATATTATGCAAATGAAAATTAAAGTACATAAAATTTCCTGGAAAACTAAACAAGAAAAACTATTCTATCTATTGTTGTTACAGAAATATGATGATTTAAAGTTCGTTTTTAATGAAAAAGTAATTGAAATTTGTCATTAAGTCCAGTTTCTTTGGTGAAATCTTTTTTTCTGGACCTTACTTGAAAACCATATAATAATATGTTTAAAATTAAACTTTTTTAAACATATTATATGGTTTTCAAGTAAGGTCCAGAAAAAAAGATTTCACCAAAGAAACTGGACTTAATGACAAATTTCAATTACTTTTTCATTAAAAACGAACTTTAAATCATCATATTTCTGTAACAACAATAGATAGAATAGTTTTTCTTGTTTAGTTTTCCAGGAAATTTTATGTACTTTAATTTTCATTTGCATAATATTAGTGTTTAATCAGGGACTTATAAAAGAGTAATTTTCAGAAAAACGAAAAAATTCACACTTTTTCGACTTTTTCGACAATTTTTTAGCTTTATATATTAAAATATTGTTTTTACTAAATAGAATGTTTTTTAATGTTAAAAGATATCTTTTGAAGCAATAAATATTGTTTAAAACATTATCCTTCAGAAAATATGTACAATAACCTAGAAAAAAATTAAAAAATCATTATAATTTGAGTTTCCCTCCAACGATTAATTTAATTTTTATCTTAAAATGATTATTAGACATCACTTAAATGATATCAAAAATAAACCAGAAAGGGTCATGACTTTTGGGTTGAATTTCATCCAAGCTCACTGTGTGTCCTTTTTAGAAAAGGGCCCATATTGTCGATTTTTCGTATTTTCAAAATTAAGAAGGGGGGATGGTTTTAAAAATTTAAAACCTGTTGGTTTTTCATCTTCAAGGTGCCCTGAACTGGAAACAATTCTTATCTGAATAACTTCCAAGAAGAACAAGAAATTCAACAATTAGTTGGTATCGCAATCTTTAATACCGTTTTTTCGAAATGAGGTTTTTGGCGTTCTAAACTTTAAAATTTCGTAACTCAGCGAATTTTTAACCAAAAAAGTTCTAAGACCACTCAAAATTTTCCAAATTTTGCCAGGAATACGCCCATATAGATAACTCTAATAGTGCCAAAATAGGCCCTTTTCATGTGGACGTCCACATATTATATTATTTATTATAAATCCTAAGTTAGTTTCTTATGATTTACAAAGGTAATTATGTAAACAGTAAATGACAAAAGCTCTCCATGTTTGAATAAAATAAATTATTACCATGTTTAGACTGATAATTTAATCCTTGTTGAAGATAACACCATTCTGAAAGAAATGATAGTAAATAAACTTGTAAAATTATCAAATAAACAGCAAAAGTTTTAAAATAGCAGATTTAAAAATATAAAGTTAACTTATTGCAATAGAAAACAATATTTAATAGCAAGGTGATTAATATTTTCAATCTTTAACACAATTTTATAAATATAATAATAAAAAAAGATGCTAACTTTGTATGCCTTTTTTTACGCTGGGTCTCCCAGACAGTTTAAAATTTTTTAATTTAATAATTCTAAATGTGACGTGATCTGCAGAAAGGGACCTTAGATGCAAATCACTTTTAGGTTATGTTAGTGTTACTTTTTTCTGGATCGAAAATTTATTTTACTTATTACAAATTAAAATCAGTGTTTATTAAGGGATCATACCACTTTGTCATCTTCAAAAAAGCAAAAATTTTTTTATTACTGATTTCGAAAGTAAAATATGTCAAAAATGTGGTGTAAAATTTTTAAAAAGATCCCAGCCCTCAAAATATATTTTTTTAAGTACTATTTGAGCGCGTACATGGCTATGTAAGTATACAACACAAACTTTAAACGCATTTTTCTCAAAACTACATTTTTCCATGCTGCGGGATGTTTTTTCGGAAACTACTGGACCGATTCTCAAAATTTTTTTACGAAAATCTTCGTCACATGTGTGGGTATCGCCGGAACTAGAATTATTTAAAAATATTTATTAATAAAATAAGGTATTTTATAAAGTTAAAGAGTGTATTTATTGAACTAAAAAAATGCAGATCAATATAATCCATAGGAACCGTAAAAAAATTCTAGAAAAAAGGTTCATTTTTAAGCGTGTAAAGTGGTATGAACCCTTAAATATTTTAGTTGTAATGAAGACTTAAACATCAATGATTTATATTGACAGTAGATCTATTTTTGTATTTTCATTTACAAAATTCAGATCGTGTCACAAATAATCTTTTTCAAGTTAATTAAACAATAAACACTTTTCAGTATGAAAATGAATAATTTGTTAATCGTGAAAACATTTATAAGCTTTAAAAAGTAGTCCTTCTCTTTTAACCTATTTGATCGTAATAGACTTATTTATCAGTTTTTTAATAAGACTATTGTCACATCAAAATGTATTATAAGAAATAAAAGTACAAGTTATTATAATTATTTTAAGACACAGTAAATTGATGTGCTTCGTGTCTTGGAAAAACTTTTATAATTTAAATACCAGAAAACAAGTGCGTGCAAAATTTGAAAACGATCGTAATACGACCACGAAAATCAAATAAAATTATTCGAAAAGTACTTGCATATATTTTTACATGTGATACTTAACATCCCGTGAATTATATGTGTCGAGAAAACATACTAATTGCAAAGATAATTAAAAAATATTAGTCAATTACTGACGACCGTAATCGAACGATAGTTTTTAGAAAAGAAATTGTTAAGTATAAAGTTGTCAATTCTCACTTTTTTATAAAAACTGTTAATAATTAAAACCGAAGGTTAAGTTTCAATGTTTATTTTGATATTTTTTACTTACAATAAATGACAAAAGAAATTAATTATTAAAAAATAACATGTAAGAGAAAAAAAAGTTAAAGAAATTGGAAAATTTATAAGTAAAATAAATTTGAATAAATATTCTTTGAAAAATGTATGGTAAACATTGAAAATTATAATAATCCCTATTCACGAGATTTAAGTTAGACTTTTATAAATTATTATTATTGAACGGGTTCGACTCGCGAATGAGAAGCACGATTTACACTGGCACAAGTTTTGTTGAAAATCCTCTGGGTGGAGTTACAACGGCAGAGAGCAGAAAAGAATGTTTGCAAGTACTGCAAGACAATGGCCATGTGAGAAAGATGGACTTACCGGTAACGCTGGCTCTCTGCGATGGCTCGAAAATATTCCGTAGTGGAAGACAAAGGGCACTTAGTAAGCAAAACACTAATTGCGATTATTATTTAACAAACAAGATAACTATTTATTGAACATAAACTGATAGAGAATTTGAGTACAATTAAGTTACACAATGGTTACGCTTTTTGTGCGTTTCTATATGTTGCTCGCAACAGTCTTTCGTCGTAGCTCGCGACAATCTGCCGGTTGGCGTCGTTTTTTGCTTAGCACGCGGTTTTGTCGTCTGCTCTATGAATTGCGAAAAGTATCGTATCGATTCATACGCCGCAAGGTCGATAATCGATAGTTAACAATCGAATATCGAACATCGACATTTGAATCACGGAATATTAAGTCACTGCGATTAAATAATTAATTCGGTTCGTTACATTCCCCCTCACTTAGGCGGAGTTACTGCAGTATTCGATACTTAGCGCTGAAAGAACATGATTAGTAGAACATACATAAATGTTTTCGCAATGTTAGTCCATCTTAATTGGCCATTGCGAATAAGAAAAATTGGAATTGAAAAATTAGAATTTTACTTAAAGAAAAGCGAAAATTTGTTTAAAAATGAAAATTAGAAATTATTAAGTTTCAATTGGATAAGTGAACAATAACTTATTTCTGAAAATAAAAGAAAGATTAGTACTTGTTAACATTCGTTCTCTTTTGAGGGAATAAATTGTTAATTTATCGAAGTATAATGTTTTTATTTTTATTTTTCAAAGTCATAAAGACAAATATAGCTAAAGAGTACAAAAAATAATTCTGGAATGTGTATTCCATGTAGCGCAAAAGGAGTTCAGAAGAATAGTATAAAAAATAAAGATACTAATGTAAAGAGATAGATAAGATAAGATACTATGTGAAAAATAAAAAAAACTTTTTTTTTTGACGAAAAATATAAGTATAGTAATTGATATTTCAAACGTAAACACTTATTTTAGTCATAGCACTTAGTGTCTTTTTAAACAAAAAACTATACTTTAAACGTAAACACTTATTCTAGTCATAGCACTTAGTGTCTTTGGAAAAAAAAACTAGAGTCTTTAAGCACTGTTAAAGTTCGTTGTAGCGAATTTTTCGCAATTTACTCTTCTTCTTCTTCTTTTTCTTCGTTAATGCCTAACTCATATGCTTGAGATAATGTTTTCCATAACTCGGCATTATTGTCGTCGGAGTCGAGAGGTCAAAGAACTTTGTTGGGATCTCGAACTTCCTTCATGGCTGCAATCTCTGTAGGTGGAAGCGTAGCAGAGAGTTTTCGCGTTGTGGGAGGTTTCGGCTTGAGAACATCGTTATTAATTTCGATGGTCGGTTCGCGTAATGGTCTCTCGGCTTGCATTGCTGCTTGTAAAACAAGATCCGCGCGAGGTGACAACTTGGTCGGAATTTTCATCGATTTTGTCGAAGAAATCGGCTTCGCGATTGTGTTGGTAGTTCTTGCAGGTGGCGGTTTGAAGGTCACTTGCATGTTGCTCGCTTGGTTGGTGGCTTCGAGCATCTCTAGGTCTCTCTTCGCAGTCCTGCGCTCTACTTCTCTTCTTCGGCATTCAACGCAACAGACGTCAGGCAAGTTTTTGGGGCGTTTACAACCTTTACACCTCTGGTGTTCTGGAACATCAAATTTCTCGTCTGCTACATGCGGCCAGGGACATTCTTCGGTGCTGAAATCTGGGCTGTGACAGATTTGGCAAAAGCGTTGGTTGTATAGTTTTCGGCATACCTTGAAACTATGGCCTTGTTCGCCGCAATTTAGGCATCCTTTTGGTGCTCTTGGTCGGATTCTTATTTCGCGTAACTCCGACTGCATTTTTAAGACTTCGGTGATCTTATGTTTGAAGAGATCGCGAGTTCGATAATATAATTTCTCCATGTAATTATAGTCGTCCAGTAGTGAGTAATAGTCGGCTGCGTGAGAATCGACTTTCTTCTTCAGTTTTGCGACTTCGGATTTGGAATCGTCGGCTTCCTCTTTGCATTTCGCCAATTGTTCCGCGAGATTCTGCTTTTCTTGGAGTAGTTCTGACAGCATCTTGTAATGTGCTGCCATGTCCGCGATGCCATTGATAGGGGGTGTTGCTTTAGTTGCATCGAGTTTCTCGCGAAGTATATTGATTGTTTGATTTGCTTCAATCAGCTGGTTGAAAGAGATTCAGAGATCGCAGAAATCTGGGTTACCGGAATCTCAGACAGACTGGTTGAGCTATTGGCGTTGTCGTTGGGTGAATCCATGATGGATCTGAAAAGAAAATTTACAAGTTGTTTTGCGATCGAAGACCCCTTTTTGCGAGTTTTAAATCGCTCACATGATATTTACCAATTTTCTTGCCATGTGTGTCGCTGATAATTACCACCACGGGGGATAATCTTTCCGTTATAATGGCTGGGCCTTTGTATCGAGGTGCTAATTTTGAACTATATCCTTCAATTGCTTTGGACAATTTATTATTTGGATAGAACACCAAATTGCCAAGTTCGAATACTATATCATTTTTGCGATTCTTATTATAATTTTTTCTTTGTTTTTCACAAGCTTTAGTCATTAACTTTTGAACTTTTGCACGAAGGTCATCTATGCGTTTTATCCGTTCTAACCAGTCATTAGTTGTATCGTCAATTGTCGGTTTCGCGTTAGTTTCGAGCTTTTGTTCTCCTGTACGTCTTGGTTCGCGAGCGAAGTTTAAGAAAGCAGGAGTTACGCCTAAAGAGGAATAGAAGGTAGTGTTGTAAGCGAATTGTATTTCTTCTAACAACAAATCCCATTCGCGTTGATTTTCGCCAAGGAGACTGGCGATCATCGTTTTTAGGTTTCGATTTACGCGTTCGACGGGGTTTGATTGTGGGTGATAAACCGGAGTCGTGCGTTGGTCAGAACCAATTTCGTTTAGGAATTTCGTAATATTTCGATTGACGAATTCGGTTCCATTGTCTGTGACAAATGTTCTGGGTGTTCCCCATTTGTTAATTAAAGTGTTTAATGACTTAACGATTTTTGGACCGTCGGCTTTTGTCAAGGCGAAGCATTCGATATATCGCGTATAAATGTCTTCGCAAACTAGAATGAAGGATTTTCCTGATTTAGATCGCGGAAGTGGTCCTACAATGTCTAAAGAAACAATGTCCCATGGTTCATTGAATTTACGCGGATACATAAGTCCTTGAGGGGGATTGTTTTTGGGTTTGCATTTTAAACAAATTTCGCATTTTTCGATATATCTTTTAATATCTTCGCGCATACCGGGCCAATAATGATGATTAATAATTGACAAATAAGTTTTATTAATCCCTTGATGTGCGGATTGTGGGGTGTCATGATATTTGGAAATAATCGGGAGTATTTCATTTTCTTTTAACACTTTCTTCCATGCGTTGTTATCGCCTATGGTTTCTTTGAGTTGATTTGGTTTGTAATAGTACAGTTCGCTGTTCAAGTCGAGTCTGTATCGTTCGTAACGCGTGGGGGTATTAGGCACACGTTCAACCATCTCGTCGTACCAAGATACGCTGTGGGTGTGACTTAGCTGTGAGGAGGGCGTGTCTTCCGAGACGTTCTCGTAAAGGCGCGATAGAGTGTCAGCTGCTTCGTTGGTTGTACCTTTGCGGTGCTCAATTTTCGCATTATTTGCCGATAATTATAATGCCCATCTCGCAAGTCTACCTCGCGAATCTTTTAAATTTTGCAACCAAACTAGACTTGAATGGTCGGTAATTACCGTAAATTCTGTCGCTTCGAGATAACATCGCAATTTCTTAATCGCAAAGATCACAGCCAAGCATTCATTCTCGGTGGTAGTATAATTTAACTCTGCACCTCTCAAAGGTCTGCTTAGACATGTGATGAGATATTCAATATCTCCGTCTTTTTGAGTGAGAATTGCACCTATGCCGGTGTCGCTTGCGTCTGTGTATAAGAAGAATGGTAAATTTGGTCGCGGCGGATTTAACGTTAAGGCATGTTTTAGTAAATTTTTTACTTCCTGATAAGATTTTTCGTGTTCTTCCGTCCATTTCCACGGTACTTTGGGACTTGCTAATTTATTTAACGGTCCTTGTACTCGCGCGATATTACGTAAATGTCGGTGATACCAATTTACGGAGCCGTTAAATTGACGTAATTCTTTGCGGTTACGGGGAGTAGGACGTTCGAGAATTGGATCTACGCGTTTCGGATTGGATTTAAGACCTTCTTTGTTGAGAACAAAGCTGAGATATTCGACAGAAGAATTTGCGAAAAATGATTTTTCTCTGTTTATTGATAAACCTGCTTTGTGAAGAATATCAAAGACAATATTTAACAATAAAAGGTGTTCATCGAACGTTTTAGAGATAATAATCCAGTCATCGAGATACGCGTGTACTTGATCGATATATTGTTCAGGTAAATTGTTCGTGCGAATGTGTTCGACAAATTTTTCTTTCAGCCTATCAGTTAATTCTTGAAAAGTGGCTGGTGAGTTAGTGAGGCCAAAGGGCATTCTAACCCATTCGTATTGTCCACGTCCGGGTACTACAAAACCGGTATATTCGCGTGAATCTGGGTGAATTGGAATATGATGAAATGCATCAGTAAGATCTATTGTACTGATTATATTTGCTTCGAATAACGCGTCGAGGATAGTATCCATGCGCGGTAAAGGATATGCAGATTTTTTAGTATTTTTATTTAATTTTCGGAAATCCATGCAAACTCTTGGTCTGCCATCTTTACGATAAGTTAAGACAATAGGACTCGCGAATCGACCGAAGCTTCGAATTATAAATCTTTTTTCGATATATTTATCAATTTGATCATTTATTATTTTATTAGCTTCTAAACTGTAACGATGAGGTTTGAGTTTAAACGGGGTTTGATCCGTCAGTTCAATTACGTGAGTTGCTAAGTTCGTAATGCCGGTGTATTCTGCGAAATTTGATAATTTTTTATCTACAAATTCATCTAAAATTTTTCTTTGTTCGGGTGTTAATTCTAATAATTGCACCGAATTTAGAAAATTACGCGAGTTATTTGCTGGGATAAAAGGATTCCGTGTTTTTGAATCTTCGATGGACCAATAACCTTTACTGGCGTCTATGACGACTTGCCATGCGGTTATGAAGTCCATGCCTAATATTATGGGCGTGGTCAGTCTATCGAGGACTGCGAACCATAATTCGCCAGTACAATTGTTAATTGTAACATCAAATTTTGCGGAATAACGGGGCGCGGCTACGTGGTCGCGTTGAGCTAATTGTACGCCTGCACGAGTTATTGCATCTTGAATTGGGTCACCGTTCGCGAATTCTTTAACTAAATCGTATAATTCTCCGGACATAAAGGTACGATCGCTACCTGTGTCGAGAAGACCGTTAATTTGTTTATCGCCGATATTTATTGTTGTGGTTATCGTGTTCCGTTTTTGTGGCGGTAAGGGCAATGCAGGCCCTTTGTGTACTAAGCGCTTGAAATTACTGGCTGCTGCTAGTAAGCCAACAGCTGGTTTTGACAAGGGCTTCGACGTAAGTGAGTGTATGCTCGTCTCTACTGTGTCAGTATGTACGGTAGTGGGGATGAGCTCGTCGCTTGAGTCTGAGTACTCCGTCTCGGATTCCGAGTAGCAATTGTCATCGTATTCGCTTTCGGAGTCACTAGTGAAATTCCTACTGGCATGCGCTTGATTCAGCGCTGATGCATTTTGAGGAATACACGTTGAGTCCTTTGCGGTGTGACTGCAACTTGGTATTACACGGTTGTCAATAATATCGCGGTTATTTATTTTTACAATTTTATCGTTGGGATTTTCCGAATTTTTATTTGAATTAATTATTTGTTCGCCAGGGAGATTTAATCTCTCTTGGCATCTATCTCGTTTTTTGGCGAAAAAGGGTTAGGTGCATTGAAACCGTGGGTGTTTGGAAAATCGCGATTGCCGAACCAAGGTGGTACTTGAGGTGGCAAGGGTATTTGCGGGGGTGTGAATGGTTGTTGCGCGTTGCCGGGTTGGCAGAACTGCGAGAGGTATTGGTAATAATCATAATTATTATTACCACGACCACGACCATTCCATCCGTTTTTGTTTCCGCGTCCGCGATGGTTGCGATTTTCGTGTCTGCGTCCGTCACTGCGGTCTTTGTCTCGTTTCGAGTCTCTGCTGTGGTCACGAGTTTTACGCGCTGGCGATCTACGTTTTCCCCCCTCTCGTCGCGATGAAACGGAACGTGAGGAGCGAGAAGACCTGGAAGTGGATCGGCCGCGTGATTTACGGGCCGGTGGTGGGGAGGCAGGTGGCTTCTGACCGCTCTGATTATTTTCAGATTTTTGTTTTTCGCTTGTTGGTAATTTTGCTTCTAATCTTTTAATTTGTTGTTTGTAAATTTCTACTTTATTTAAACTAATTTCTGGTTCGCTTTTATTTGGTTTTTTGTTGTTTTTGGGTTTCTTTGAAACGTTTTCTGCTTTGGTTTATTTTTCTGATTTACTTTGTTGAATGGAATCAGATGTGAGCGGGGGAGTTTCAATTACGTTTAATTGGTTTTTACCGCGTGAGTTACGAGTTTTTTTCGAGTCTTGTTCGCGAATTTTTGAAGTAAATTGCATTGTTGCTATTTTTCTTCGTATTTGCGAATTTTGCGAATTAAACCGTCGTAATTTGTGAAACTGTCGCGATCAAATTGCAAAATTAAGTCAGAATGAAGGGCCGAGTAAATTTTGTCAAGTTGATTTTCTTCCGTAACTTTTTGTTGTAATTTATTATATAGGGAACCTATTCTTATGACGAATTCGATTCCTGACTCGTCTTCGAGTTGGACGGCGCGTTGAATTTTATTTGTAATGCGTTGATCGTCGTTTGACTCACCAAATATCGATCGGAATTTGGTTGAAAATTCATTCCACGTGTTCCAAGAATTGCGGAATGTGGCGAACCAAGTGTACGCGGATTCGGCAAGTACTTGGGACATCGTCGCGAGCGCGTCATCGGGATTGATATTTGAAACGTGTAACTTGCGTTCAAATTCGTCGATGAATTCGTCTGCGTCGAGCGGTCCTGCGAATTTTAGATCCCAAGATTTTATAGTTTTATGCAAATTGTGATTTTGCCTATAAAAAATTGGTGGAGGTCTCGTGATAGGTTCCTGTGTGTTAATGTGAGATGTTTCGTAAGGATCACTGTCGGAAAGTGGAGGGGAAATGAGAATTTCTGGCGGCTCGGTGAATTGCAGTGTACGGTTGCGAAGAGTAGCACGCACGGAAGGTGTTGTAGACAGTGGTGGGGGGAGAGCTGTTGCTATACCCGAACTAAATGTCGCATGTGTCCCTGTATTCGTAGTTGTCACTGTAGTAGTGGTACTCGTAGATGGTAGGGATGTAGGTTGTGATACCTGCTGTGTGCTAGCGTGATAACCGTTGTCGATTGATTCCCATCGAGAATCATGCCAAGGGAATGGTGTTTGTTTAACTTGCAATTCCGAAATTTTTTGCGAGAGAGATTCTATCATTTTATTTACTTCTTTCCTGTTTTCTTTAATTAAATTGTTTATTTCTAAATGATTTGATTGGATTAATTGAAATGTTTCATTTTTAAGGGTTGTTAATTCTTTTCTGTTGTGTTTTAAATCTTCTAACCGAGCTTCTTGAACTACACGGCGAGTTTCATTGTAAAAATGATTTAATTGTTTGCGAGATTCGTCCAAGTAACGGTCGAGCATATGTTGCATATGACGTTTAAAATCATTGTTTTGTGTTACTTGAGTCGCGTGAATGTTATCAAAACGTGTGAGGATTTGTTTGATTGCTGCGTTAGAGGTAGGCGTTTTATGTTTCGGTTTCCGACCACGGTGTGTTGGAATTGAAATTTTTGGGGTGGTTCCCGTACCAGGTGCTGCAGAGGATGATTTATCCAGGTCGCTAGTGCGATTTTCTGGATGATTTTGCGTTTCGTTCCTAGCATTTTCCGTTACTGTGGGGTTTGTGTGTGGAGCGCTTGAAACGTTGTTTGTCGCTGTCTCTAATAACGCGGTATCATTTTCTACTGTGAGCACGTTTTGGTCACTTTGCGTTGAAGGATTCGGGTGGGGAGAATTCGTTTCCGAATTATTGCTTTGATTCGACAGGGGGGGTGTCCTGTACATGTTGTTTTTTGCACGCGATCTAGTTGTGATTCCTCCTTGTTTTGGCGTTTTATTTCTTCTCGTCATGTGAGAGAAGAAAATTTGCGTTTATTTGGTGATTGTACAAAAAAAGAGAAAAAAGAAAGATTGTTTGAGAGAAAAAAAAAAATTTTTTTTATTTTTTATTGTATTTCGGAGAAATTATTTATTTAAGTTTGAATAATTTTTCTAATTTTTAAATAGTTTTAATTTTATACGAGTTTTTATTTTCTTATTTCTAGTATTTTAATTTGGAGAAATTTTAATTTTGTAGGGAATGACCAAATATGTGAGGAACAATGGCAAGCTGTGGATGTAAACTCAGCTGTGTTTTGATCGCGTTATCGAAAAGCGAATCGAGTGTTCACTGAAAACAATTTTGTTAAGAGATTTTTAATTGTTAAGAGAAAAGAAAATTATTCTTTGTTTTAACAACCGAAAATTTATTAATACGTCCAAAAAAAAATTATTTTTGTTTTAATTTTCAATTAGTTGCGTGATTTTATTTTCATGATTTTAAATTTCTTATTTCAGAATAATTTTCCTTTATAAGGGAATGACTAAGCCCGTAGAAAATCAATTGTAAAATTTCATGTGAGCTAGAGTAGTTTTACACACAAAAAAAATAATTGAAAAGCGGGGTTGTATAAAAGACAAATAATTAGCGAATTTTTACAAGAAATAAAAGCGTAGTTGTAAAAAAAATTAAGCTGGAAAAATGTTGCGTACATAAAAAATAAGCGAAGTTGTACAAGCAAAAGAAATATATTAAAGTAGATGCGTTTTATTACAAGCTTAATTAGGCGCAATTTATTTTGGTAAATTAAAGCAACATGATGTTTAGAAGCGATATTTAATTTTTAAAATTTGAGATTGTGCGAGCTATAAGCAAATTTTGACAATTTTCGTCCAACATGTGCCTGTGCTGTTTGCGACGCGATTTCGAAAATGTAAGTTTCTTTAGCAGTTTTCGAAGTACGCGAACGAAGCAAAAGAAAATTTAATTTTACTTGTAATTTAATTGAGAATTTAATTTTCAAGTAAAAGCACGTTGGGCGCCATTTGTGGCATCCCTATTCACGAGATTTAAGTTAGACTTTTATAAATTATTATTATTGAACGGGTTCGACTCGCGAATGAGAAGCACGATTTACACTGGCACAAGTTTTGTTGAAAATCCTCTGGGTGGAGTTACAACGGCAGAGAGCAGAGAAAGAATGTTTGCAAGTACTGCAAGACAATGGCCATGTGAGAAAGATGGACTTACCAGTAACGCTGGCTCTCTGCGATGGCTCGAAAATATTCCGTAGTGGAAGACAAAGGGCACTTAGTAAGCAAAACACTAATTGCGATTATTATTTAACAAACAAGATAACTATTTATTGAACATAAACTGATAGAGAATTTGAGTACAATTAAGTTACACAATGGTTACGCTTTTTGTGCGTTTCTATATGTTGCTCGCAACAGTCTTTCGTCGTAGCTCGCGACAATCTGCCGGTTGGCGTCGTTTTTTGCTTAGCTCGCGGTTTTGTCGTCTGCTCTATGAATTGCGAAAAGTATCGTATCGATTCATACGCCGCAAGGTCGATAATCGATAGTTAACAATCGAACATCGACATTTGAATCACGGAATATTAAGCCACTGCGATTAAATAATTAATTCGGTTCGTTACAATTTCTGTAATGCAGTTTAATTAAAGCCTATTTTTAAAATAAACAATTTAATTTTTTAGTTATTCACAAAAAAATGAAAAGTAATGTTATTTATATCCCAGTTCATGTTTTAGTTAAAAATAATACAGATTTTGAAAAGTAATAATATAATTAATATAATATTAATAAAATAATATAAATATTATAAATTATAACTTTTTAGTTAATTGCTTTTAACGGTTTTCGATATTAAAAAAACACCTGTTAAATATTTTTTTTTACAAATTAAAAATCTTTCGGTTAATTTGGTAAACAATGTTTCATAATGTGCTAAAAAAATAAATAATTCTTTCTTATTAAAAAATTAAAGATTCTAGTTATATGCCCATATTGCATTTCGAGTTACATCTATAAAACTTCTTTTTAATTTAAAAAAAATTGCAGTAGTCTTTTAAGGTTCCCAGATTTTAATAATATCTAGAATACTTAAAAATTCTTTATCTTTTCCATGTTTTCTACGACTTTACAGTTCAGTAGAATTTTATCTTTTAAAAGTTCAGGATTAAACTTTTGTCATGAACAAAAAGTTTTGAACATTCGTTCAAATGAACGAAATATTTTTTGTTAAAAATATTCTCATAGATTATTGATTACAATTCAAATTGAAAACTCAAATTTTACATTTAGAAACATTATAATTAATTTGCTTAATAGTGACGTAAAATTATAGTAATAAGAATTTAATTTGAAAAAGATATAAACAAATTTTGTTCATTTGAACGTTCAAAACTTTAACTTCCGCTTTTGTCGTAATATAATAAAAATACGAAATAAAAACTCAAAATAATTGTATTAATAAAGAGACTTAGCAGATGGGTATTTTTAAAGTTTTAGATCAAGATGAAAATACTAAAATCACGAACTGCAAATTGTTATTTTTAATTCCGGTAAAATTCAAGTTTCAAAATTTATCATGTCAAATAGTGAAAAAGAATTTGGAAGTTAGTAATTAATAATATTTAATATATATTATTAATAAATTATTAATCAATACTAATTTTTCAAGAGTATGGGAAAATTCTAAATTTATAATTAATTTATATTAATTAATATAATATATATATAATATAATATAATATAATATAATAATAATAATATAATAATAATAATATAATAATATAATATATAATATATTTTATTAATTTATTATTAATTTATATTGATGAAAAAGAGTAAGTCGAAAGTAAATATTTGATCACTAATCGAAAAAATTTTGAACTATAATGCTTACAAACTAAATAACATGCAAATAATACAAACAACACTGTTCCATTTCAACTACATTGAAAAGATTTATAATGAAAACAACTTACCAACAATTTTATTAATTAATGTGATTGAAATTAGTTATGAACATTATCTAAATGTGATCCACGTATCCTGATTATTAGCGACTTCAATAGCCAAACAATAACCTAAAAATAAACAATACTTAAGCATGCTTAATAATAAATTTAGATAAATAATAAATTTAATAATTATTAAATTAATTTACTATTATTTCATAATGACAAATCCAAAAATGTAAATGCTTTTAACGTCGACGTATTTATTTCAACGCTTTATTGCATTATCGTAGAATATTAGGAATATTATAATGCGTCGACTTAACCTATAAATGGTATTCTGAACTTTACATAAAAGTTATAAAAATAGAGTAAAAATTTCACATAATATTCCGTTCCATATCAATTTATAACTAAAAACTATTTACACTACCTCATATACAAGTACGGAAAGTAAAGCAATTTACATTGAAAAATGAAAAAAGTATAGCTAATGTAAACAACGAAAACAAACCTAATGAAATAGAGAGTATAAAATATATTATAATATATATATATATATATATATATATATATATATATATATATAATATAATATAATATATATATATAATATAAATAATATATATTAGAAGAAAAAAAATGCTGTTTGTAGAAAGTTAAAGTTCTGTCCTTTCTAGTAGCTGAAGCAAATTCTAGTAGCGTTTAAGTATAGTAATATTTTAATCGTTTTATTTAGTTCAATTATAAATCCGTGCTAAGGAAAATCGAAAAAATACTATCATATATAACAAACAAAAATATTTGACAGAACTAGAGCAAAAATACATCAGTATATAACTAATTGTAATATGAGATAGTTTTTTTGTTCTGGTTATGTCAAAAATTGTTTTCGTTATTGACGATAGTGTTTTTTTCCTCTGATCCCGGCAGAGTGCATTGCTTGATACAAAACCCGATCGTGCAACCTCCCCGCGGTGTACATCGGGTAACGCCAAAGCCGACTGTACAATTATTTAAGAAATTGACGTTAATTACATAAAAGAAACTTCAATTTTGTATTCAGCGACCCCAAAATCTCTCGAGTAGCAAGTTTTGATCGAATGCGATGAGTTTTTCAAAAAAAATGTCGGCCATATTGGATCCGCCATTTTGAACTTTCGAAATATGATGTCATATTCGTAATCAGCGACCCCGAAAATTCTCGAGTAGCAAGTTTTGATCGAAAACGATGAATTTTTCAAAAAAATGTCGGCCATATTGGATCCGCCATTTTGAATTTTCGAAATCTGATGTCATATTCCTAATCAGCGACCCAGAAAAGCCCCAAGTAACAAGTTTTGAGCGAATACGATGAATTAAAAAAAAATGTCGGCCATGTTGGATCCGCCATTTTGAATTTTCGAAATTTGAGGTCATATTCGTAATTAGCGACCCCGAAAACCCCCGAGTAACAAGTTTTGAGCGAATACGGTGAATTAAAAAAAAATGTCGGCCATGTTGGATCCGCCATTTTGAATTTTTGAAATCTGATGTCATATTCGTAATCAGCGACCCCGAAAACCCCCGAGTAACAAGTTTTGAGCTATTTTAAAGAGTTTTAAAAATTGGCCACCATTTTGGTTCCGCCATTTTGAATTTTCAGACTCTAATCAAAATCTGCTTGAAGATTAAGAGATAAGATATTAAGATTATTAAGCGACCCCAAAAACATTAAAAAAAAATTTCGGTCAATTTTTTTTCATGGATTTTGTCATTTTTATTTATGATTTTATTTGTGGGTTCATGATTTTGTTGACTTTGCTCGCTTATAATTAAGCCGCCATATTGGATTTTCAAGATCGCCCACATGCTTTCGAAAGTAGACGAGTGTACGAATTTTTTAAGCCCTTAACCGATTTTTTTCATTGCGCAAATTTTTGGCTACAGCTCTGTTTCGTTTGACGTGGAACGTCCCATATATATATATATATATATATATATATATATATATATATATTATTTTTATTATAAAAACTATATTATTCTTCAGATTCGATCCAAACATTACAAAGAGAAATGGATAAGAGGATTCAAAACATTAGAAAGCAGAAAATTTCGAAAGAAGAAATGAAAGAGGAGAAGATAAAAGAAGAGGCAAATAGACTAAAATACATTGAAAGTGCACGGAAGGATAATATAATAATGGCCATCGAACTGCAAAAAGAAAAAAAAGATAATTTACTTGATAAAATAAAAACAGCAATAAATATATCAGAAAAAATCAACAAGGAACTTTTAAATATAAATAAAGTTTTAAAAATTTAGAAATAAATATTCAAAATTTATGGTTAAAAACTATGATTATATCAAGTGTTTGATCCTATTTTTTTACCTGTTGGAACTTCTCATTAAAATTTTATTTTTGTAATGCAACTAATTTTTTATCAATAGAGAGACACAATGATTTCAATAAATAATTTGTATGCATTAAAATTTTGTTAGTATAACAGTTTTGAAATAAACAATTTTTTATTTCATTTACACAATTTTTTTCTAATTATTAGTTATTTGAAAATGTCTAAATAGAACTTTTCATAGATCCCGAAATAAAAAGATTATAGCTATTTAATTTAAAGAAACTTAATTATGTATTGATTTTTATTATTTTTTTGCCAGCAAATTTAAAACAATTATTTACAATTTCCTTTATAATTTGTAATTTTTCAAAAATTAATTGTGTTTTTGATATTCTTTAGCACGTTTGAATATTTTTAACTTGTCAAATTTTTTGTTTTATAAATTATAAACTTTTTTATTATACTTTACCTACAAAAATAATAATTTATGTGTTTTTGATTTTTAAATAATCAAATTTATTCTTATTCTTTATTAACTATATACATTTGAAGTTATCTGCAAGCGTTATTTGTTTTTACTAATAACAGTTAGGAAACAAAAGATAAATATTTTACTCATCTTTACTGTCAAGCTTTCTAATAAAATAAAAAGTATATTATAATTAATTTTTACGGAATTAATTCTATTTGTTACAAAAATGGAAGAACAGATTCTTGTGGAAGGAGATGGATGTTATACCATTATTTTTAAGAAATCTGTAATATTTGATCCAAAAATTGCGGAAATAAATATTGGAACAAACATAAAATATTTATGGCCAGAAAATTCTACGTGCAAGAAGCTATATGTATATTGGAAAAGTGATTGCCATTTCAAGTAAGTTGACATATTAAAAAAATTAAAAATTAACGATTTTAATTTCTTTTAAAATTAATATTTTATTCTTTTTTACTTTTACTCCATTTTACAATTTTTGTATTTATTTATGAGGAAGTTTGGTGGTGATGAAAATTTTCTATCTTCAATTTTTTTCAAAAAGACTTTATCTTTTTACTTTTTTTCTATACTTTATGTCTAATTTCATTAAAAAAATCTTTGGTTTGTTTATAAAAATAATACAATTGATATGTTAATATTTATTTAGCTGATGAAAATGAACTAAAACATCTGCTGCGAGAAAAATCGAAAGAAGCTTGGAAACAAAGTACTACAAGAAAGAGAAAATTATCAAGTGGATTAACTGATGAAAATAATGAACGTGGGAATTTGAGAAAGGTACAGAACAAGAGTAAAGAGAATTAAATTTTTCAATCACTCAAATTAATATTTTCAAAT